AGAGCAATTAACTTTTCTAAAATGTGGCAAAATGCAATTCGGGTAACTTTGTTCATTGCAAAAATAAAATCTGACAAGAGTTAATGTGGTTGCATGCGAAGACTATATTTAGAATTTTAAAGAAGCATTTTGTTTCAGAATTTGGTATCCATTAGAACAATTGATAGATATCATGTCACCTGACAATGAGTTCATACAAGAATGTGGTTTCTTGCCTTAAAAATCTGCCACAGAATATGAGTGAATTTTTTGGCAGTGGGATGAGTATTTACTGTACTCTACAGGCCCTGCAGGAAAAGGGGATTCATATATGGGATGGCAATGCATCCAGAGACTACCTTGACAGGCAAGTAGTTGGATCTTTCTAGGTGTGTGATTTAACTTGTCACACTTTTCTGATTGATATAGTTATTCTTTCTATTTCAGTATTGGTTTGTTGGATTGGGAAGAAGGTGACTTAGGACCCGTCTATGGGTTTCAATGGAGACATTTTGGTGCTAGGTTAGTGAATTTTACTTAAATAGTGATCCATATTTCTAGGAAGTTCAACTGATATTGACTTAAGGACTTGTGATATGCAGCTATACTGACATGCATGCCGACTACACTGGCCAAGGATTTGATCAGTTGTTGGATGTCATTGGCAAGATTAAAAATAATCCAGATGACCGGCGGATTATTCTGTCAGCTTGGAATCCTTCTGATATCAAACTGATGGCACTTCCACCTTGTCACATGTTTGCACAGGTTAGTATTACAAAGTTGATGGATGCTTTTTTTGTTGGTGCTCTGCCATTAATTACACTTCATTTTCTTTGCTTTTTTAGTTCTATGTAGCCCAGGGGGAGTTATATTGTCAAATGTATCAGCGTTCTGCCGATATGGGTCTGGGTGTGCCATTCAACATTGCATCTTATGCACTCTTGACATGTATGATTGCTCATGTTTGTGGTAAGCATTTCATCACAAAACAGGTAACATTTTAATGATTGTGTCCATTTCTTGTTCGAATCTTAGCAAGAGGCCATGTGTGGCATCTGACTAATTTTTGTGTAAAGTCAAATCCTTGAATGCTGGGTAATGATACAGATTCTCCATGGATCTACTAAAGCAGAAACATCATAGTTTTTCTTTTTGTACCACTTTGGCTGATTTGTTTGATTAATGCTAACTACCTTGTGTTTGGCACACCAGTTGATTTCTGTAGATTATTCTGATTAGTGTCTTTATTTCCTTGCCATTAGGATGTGTTCTCTCAATTTGTCCAAATCCCACTGTTATCTTTTTTACAGATCTTGTTCCAGGTGAATTTGTCCATGTTATTGGGGATGCTCATGTCTATCGCACTCATGTCAGACCTCTGCAGGACCAACTCCAGAAACTACCTAAACCTTTTCCAGTAAGGATAATAATAATATACAACCAGATTTCATATTATGTGATCAATCTGTCTTGCAATTTTTGGTTTTTCGAAAGGAACATGGTTTTCGTAATTCCTTTTGTTTAAAAAAAAAGGTTGTAAGTTTATTCCTTGTCTCTCCTTGAATGCAGATTTTGAAGATCAACCCTCAGAAAAAGGACATTGATTCCTTTGTAGCAACTGATTTTAAGCTCATTGGTTATGATCCTCACCAGAAAATAGAAATGAAAATGGCCGTGTAGAATTGGTGATTTTCTTGAAGTTCCGCACTCCCTATTCAGGCTATATCTGCTATTGTTTTAAAGGCAAGTATTTAAATACCAACCCCCCCTGGGGGCCTGGGAGGGTTGGCTTTACTCTCCTTCAATCCTCCCAAAAGATACATATATAAGCCCACAAGATAGAACCTACTATGCTTTTAATTCTAACCCCAAAACAACTAATAAGTCCATTTTCGGTCATGATATTGATGTTATCTAAGATGACTTGGTAGAGTCCAAGCACTATGATATTGATTGCATGATGCAAAATTATTGGATGGTCATTATCTAAAAGAAGTCTCAACCATCAATCATCATAATTTTTTTTGGATAATTGTAATAATAACTTGTTCAAAAGATGGAATGAGCAGAGTCCATTGTTTAGTAAGTTCCTATGGTTCGAGGATGTTTTTCAGACTGCCATATGAGACTTGGATTTAGGTACTGGATGGTTGTTACTGTAAGGGTGTTCCAAATTGTTGATAAAGCTATAAATATAATTTGCCTTTCCATACCAAAAGTTTGTCAATACTGCATTCAACCAAAGTGCGTGTTATTCCTTGGCTTAATTCTACTTCTGACAAAGCTATATGTATATATATATATAATTTTCTTCACTGTCAAAAGTTATATTTTGTCGGTAGTACATTCAACCTTAGTACATGATATTCCATGGCTTAATTCTAGTTGTCTGTTTCAACAAAGAGTTCTATTTTATATGTTTTTTTTTTTGGGGGGGGGGGAAGGGTCAGAGAATCTTGTTGCTATTAGATTTGGATAATTTGAGAATTGAGGTGCTGCTTTTAGTTGTTATGTAATGCAGCTTCTCTGTCACGTAACAGCTGAACAGTGATACATTATATCTGTTAGAGGCATTACACGAAAACCAATTGGTAATGGATGACGAAGCCCCTCAACCATATAAACCAATATCGGGTGGCCCTAATATTTTTTTTTTTTTTTTGGGGGGGGGGATACAAACTCTCTTCACAATATTAGTTAATATTTAGACCATTAATACTCCAATGCAATTCTTCATGCACAATTCTCATCTGGACTCCTTAATAGTGGGAGTTTTCCTATTTTGTTTGGGCTGAAGCTTCCCTGTAGGTTGATTGTTTTCATGTCAACAAGTTCATAATTGAAATAGTTACAGAGATCTTTGCTTGAATTTGGGGCAATGAACATGTTTTATGCACATGATGATTTGGTGATCAAAAGATTTGATGATCTAGTGAGTGTTGCAGGAGGGATGAACTAGGGTGGTCTTATCATATGTGATTTGACTTGATATGCTATAAATATTGGAGTCCATTATTTGTAATGTGATATAAATTGTTGATGGAAGTTTAATTTTGTGAAATGTTTTGATAATGATGCAGGCAGAGGTACCAGGGGTGTTGGCCAAGAGTTATAGACAAATGAAGAATGACTGAGTGGGTATTTTAAAAACTCATTGCATCCGTAGGAATTGAGAATCCTTTAGTTCCACACATTGAATTGATGGTTCTAAGGTGATTTAGGACACACATTTCATGTTTCGAGGATTGCGGTTTTTTTTTGTCCGTTCACTTGAAGCTGCTATCACTTTCTATCATGATGCATGTACTCTGCTTGGATACATGTGGCACTTATATGCTTACTATGTTTCTCCCCCTAATATTTCTAGTCCTTCTCCAAATGTGAAGATCTGCAGTATAGCGGACACCATTTGTGCCATTGACCTGCTTAGTTGTAGTAATATATGTGTATAGGATGCTGCCAATCTAGCTGCCTTCAAATTAAATGGACAAACATTATAGCTTCTGAATGCTGGGCACTACGATGCTGACAGAGTTGTTCAATAATACAATGGGAAAGGTTGTCGTGTTTTAGGGATATTATATATAAATGCGTGTATATGTTGTGTTTTCATATATATTTTTGGTGGATCCCATCCCAAAGCACAGGGATCGGGGGATTGTTATGGGGGATTGCAACAGTATTGAGATGATGGAAATCAATTAACCAAACCAATATGATGTGGATGGAGAAGTGGCAAGGATTCCCTTTCCCGATGTTGTTGCTAAGAAAATCCTAGCTCACCATTTTGCGGTCAGCTAGGCTGTATTGGGTGCCAATTTTGAGTGTTTCATGTACTTAGGGTGCTGGAGAGGATAACAGTTTTCAAGAGCAAAAAAGCCCGAGCAAAAGATCCCTTAGGGGTCGAGCGCCAACTCGGAGGGTAAGATCTTATCTGAATGAGTAAGACCTATCACTTTAAGAATAGTGCCATTTTGAGTCTTATAATCGATCCATGAACAGAGCTAAGAGAACCTGCGCACGCAAGAGAAGTGCTACGGACAAGAACCAAAGGTGGCCAACGGCTAAGGAGCAGTCTAAACGAAATAGAACAATGACTCAGCATAGGGTGAAGAGAGAAAATTAGATAGACGTTAGTGGAAGAAAGCTTCTGGACATATATAAATAGGTCGATCCAAGTTAAATAAAACTGCTAGGGTATGGGGGTGTGAGTTGATGATCTTTTAAAACAGCTTGAGGAAATGGTGTTCTTGGATTGAGTTCTCCAGGATGCTTTGGCTTTGTTCTCTTTAGATGGGGGTCAGAGGGACGTACTGGGCTCAATCTATTAATGCAGCCACCCCACCTTATGCAGATCTATAGACCAGTTGCTTTGCTTCAGAGTGGCTATGAACCACAATTATATTCTCCTACTATTGGTGCTGAGTTGATGACTTGAAAAACTATTTTGTTAGGTAGTGAAAGGGTTGTTGGTAACCCTTTTTTTGACTTGCAGGATTGGCTTGACTCGACTCGGCCTTGAACCATGGGCAGACATGGACGATTGACAGTTGGGTCGGACGCCCATTGTCTACCCTTAAGACATAGAGCAGCATCAACTCCATTGGTTTCTATAACTCCTGACCTGTTCTAACACCACTCAGGAAAAGGATAGACAATGTCTGAGAATCGTTTGGAAATTAGATAGGGGAGAATGGAGCTCGGATACTTGGATTGGAGTGAACCAATGGAGTATATTGTAAGTAAACGTTAGTCCAAGTTCTGGACTAGTTTTAGAGTTATACAGAACATTAAAGTGAGTACATTATTGTGCAATGTTTATCTTAGTATCACATTATATTTTACTTTAAGAGGTTTTTTTCCCTCTTGATACCTCGGATTCAGATTATTACATTAATATGTATAATTTTATTGATATATTATACTTTTTGTATATAATAAAATAGATATTTTTAATCCTATTCGTATTTTATTATTTAAGATTTTGTTTTTCGTATCTGTGCGTACTGGAATGAAAAGGTGGTGGGAATTGACAGTCTAATTTTTTATAGTTTAACAGTCAAGAATATTTAGGTCAGTTTACGAGTATAACTCGATAAATCTTTTTTCTAATTTGATCAAAGATAGAAAAATTAGAGTAGATTTACGCTCAAATTAGAGTATTGAAGAGGGATATCTCTGGTGACAGTCTGGTGGTTTCGTTTGTGCTTTTCTTCGTCATTTCCTCGTGGTCGTGGGTCTTGGCAGCTGACTTTCTAGATTGACGTATTGACTGTGGCATGGAATTTAATGGAATGGCTTGGGGGGCAATATTAGTCTTGGCTTGTAGGGTCCAGCTCATTAGTCCTATTGATTAACTGACTATTAATTCGTCAACGTCATTGATATTTTTTTCGTTACAATTTTTTTTTTACAATTTTACATTTTTGTAAATTTTTTATCATTCATTTAAGTGAGATTTACTATTTATAAGTGGGTCATTCACTCGAACGTGATGGATAAAATCTACAATTGAGTTGAAATTAAGTAAAAATGTAATGGATGAGATTTGAATTCGTATACTAGGTTGGAAGTGTAAGTGTTTGTTATGCTTTGCAGAGTTCCATGCAAGTTTCCCCCTATAAATCTTCGCAAAATCCCTTGGTATCCTTGGATGCCTTGTTCTTCTTTTGGGTCCGACAGTATTATAGGGAGAGAGGCGACGAGTCTTAAACCCGTGACCGTAAGATCCAATAGGGAAGGTGGTGGCCAGTGGGCCCTATTCAGTTTAAGGTTTTCCTACATTAAAAGCTAATTCGTAGTTTACCCAAAAGAGTTATGAATTCATCAAGTACTTGTCCTCAATTCTAAGTTTGCTTACCACTGGGCTAACCCTTTTGGTTTCTTTTCGCTTTTTAAATTGGTTAGCAAGTGGTAAATTTAGTATTTTTTTAGAAAGAGAGGATATATTAGCAAATTTTGTTAGTCAACCCAACAGTTCAATAAGGGAGAGAGAATCCAACACATAAAAATCCAAACCACAAGGGGCTGTAGTTTAATTTTGGTAACAATGAGTGTCTTGCGTATAATTTCAGCAACTCAAGAATGGGTGTGAGTGTAATTCTCCATTCTAGATGGACAACTTAAACAAAGGACCTCAGTTTTCTCTCGTCCCCTCTGACAATAACAGACAAATTAAACAAGTTGGATTGTTTGGATGGTGGTGGGAGGGCGACGACAAGAGCTAGGACCAGGGGTTAGGTAAGAGCAACTCCGATAATAAAATGTATTTTACCTAGTTAAAGAATAATATTTTCTATTTTAACTATTTATTTTTTTAATACATATTCTAATAAATTTTTTATATTTTTAAATATTTTTTTTAAATATTATTTCTCATTCTTTTTGTATTATGTTTTTTAAAAATAGTAAAAGAGAGAAAGAGAGAGAATGAAAGAAAGGAGAAGAAGAGAGATAAAATAATATAAATTATCTTTATAAGTTGCTACAGTAATACTCTATATTTAGAGTATCACTGTAGCAAAAATTTATTTTAAAGTATGTGACCATAATCTGTTGGAGCATGATTTTTGGTTTTGATTAACTAAATTTTAACTATTTTACTCATTTGAAGCATTTGTTGGAGATGGTCTAAGATGGATGAATTTTGTGTACCTAGGGAGGGAAGGGTACGAGGTTAGAACAAGAAAAATAATGTTTCGTTTGGTAGGGAGAATGAAAAGTAGGAAAGATGAAAATTAAGAGGGATACACTTTCTATTCTTCAAGAATGAAAAGTAGGAAGAATATACTTTCTTTCCTTTGTGTCTGGTTGAATAAATGTAAAATAAAAATGACTATGTTTTTTTTGTGCTGGCTAAGATTAGGGATGACAATTGAGTCGTGTCGTGTCAGATTCGTGTGAGTCATTACGTGTTTGTATCGAATATTAGTCAAACAAAATTTAACTCATTTAACTAATTGTGTCGTATCGAGTTGCGAGTTGACCTGTTTATTTCCGTATCGAGTTCGAGTTGTGTCGAAAATTTTCATCCTTAGTTAAGATGGAAAAAATATTTTTTTTAATTTAAAATTTTAATTTTTTAAATTTATTTTTAAAATATATATATATTTTTTTTTTTTGTATTTTTATATGAAACTAATGTATACATAATATATGTATATATAAAAAGATATATAGACAAATAAGATATATCTCAACACAAATAATTAACTTTTCATCCACTTTCCTTCCGATTTTAAAAGGATTGATTTTGGTAAGTTGGAAGGAAAGTTAATCTGTCTACTTTTTCATCTTTCCTACTTTTCTTCCTTACCAAACATGATATTTTATTTATCCTTTCAACTTTTCATCCTTCTAACTTTTCATCATACCAAACAGAGCGCAAGGTAAGGAAAAAGAGTCATTTTGGCACCTATCAAAAAAAGTAAGGTAAGGATGAATTTTGTGTACCGCTTTTGGTAATGTACCGCCTTTGGTATTGTACCACTACTTATTATTTTTATGGTAAAATTATAACTCAAAAGAGAAAAATTATAACTGCTCAGGGAAGTCCATGAATTATGATCGATCATGAATTTCGCTTAAACAATTATAACTTCTCCCTTACGAGTTATAACTTAACCTTTAAAAGTTATAATTTCGTTATCAATTTTAATCTATTATGATCGATCATGACCTTTTAAACAAGACAGATATTTGCATAAGAAACACCGAAAAAAAGTTCTAATATAATTTAAGAAATTATTGGTCATATCGAGAAAGTTTTGTGATAGATTATTCTATTTTGACTTGAACGTTTCAAGTTTAATTCAGAAACAATTTTTGAATAAATAGAATAAAATTGTGTATCTCTAATATTTCTCAATTTCGTAAGAACGGAAGTCCTCCGTAAAAGACTAATTTCTTCGAGGGTTAATTATAAAATACTCTCTCCGACCTATGGCTCGCACCGGTATATTTGATACACTTTTCTCATTGTCATTGGCTCATATCTTTATGAATGGGCAGTGGTTGCGACGTTGACTGGTAAATAGGGTGGCACTACTGTTTGCATTAGTGTCCGGGGGGTGGCTAGTTCAATCATTGAAGTGCAGCCACTGATTGAGATAAAATGAATTTAAATTTTTCTGATTGAATTAATTGACCTAATGAATTCGTTTTTGAGATAATTATTTTTTATTTTCTTATGGTTTCAGGTAGAATTATCGTAATTATTTGACATTTAAAATTATGCACATTATTCATTTATAATTATATATTAAAGTGAAGTAATTAACACTGTTAACAAAATTATAAAATTACCATAAGATATAAAATCAAACTTTTTATCTGATTTACTCTCGGCAACATTAGTTGGAGAGATTGAGAATTAGAAAGAAAATGAGAGAAAAAGGGAAAGAGATCACAAATCTAAGAGATTCCATTAATTCTCCTTACTCGTGTAATGGACAAAAATCACTCAGCATGTTGAGTCTCTTCTTTCCTAAAGTGAAGCTTTTGATCTGAGATCAAAAATCACTTACTCATGTTTCTTTTAAAACACACTATTTGTTAACTAGGATGATAAAAATAACGATTCAGTAGGTAAGTGTTTTTGGTTGAAATTACATAGCGACTAAAAAGCAATTAACCCTTCTTTTTTTGATGTGGTTTTAGACACAACTGATTTGTGATTTGGTAGGGTGGTGCCACTGATAGTGCAGGTGGCTATGTGAAAATGTTGGCAAGTTAGTCAAGAAAGAAAATAACAATAAAGGTTATTGTTGGAAGGGTATTTTAGGACTTTTATATTTTTTATCCATTTTTTTTTTGGGTTAATCTCATTTTGTACTCCGAAAGATTGTTCGAATCTCAATTTGCACCCTCAAAGATCAAAAATTTCAATTTACACCCTCAAAGATAGAAATTTGAATCAATGTGCACCCCCAAAGATCAAAAATCTCAATTTGCCACAAAGATAGAAATTTGTATCAATGTATATCCCCCAAGATCAAAAATCTCAATTTGCACCTTCAAAGATAGAAATTTGTATCAATGTGCACCTAAAATTAAATTAATAAATTATACCTTGATCCCCTCATGTTTTTCACTTAATCATTTGAACTCCTTCACATTTAGAATATTCCCCTTACATCTCATGACGTTTATGCATGTGTAACACATAACCACTTTTCGTTGATATATATTAATATAATCGTTAAAAAATATGATTTTATCCTAATATAAAATTATAATTTTATATTACCTTTTATTTTGTGGATTCAATATACTCTAAAGTTGAAAATCAAGCTTACCATTTGAATGTCTAATAAAATGTAGATATTTATATAAAAGGTAATATGAAAAATATTATATAAATATTTATATTTTATTAGACATTCAAATGGTAAACTAGATTTTGAACTTTATAGTATATTGAACCTATAAAATAAAGGGTAATATGAAATTATAATTTTTTATTAAGATAAAATTATATTTTTTAACGGTTATATTAATAGATATCAATAAAAATGGGTTACATGTTATACGTGCATAAATGTCATAAGATGTAGGAGTAATATTCTAAATGTGAAGAGGTCTAAATGATTAATTGACAAATATGAGGGGATTTAGTTATAATTTATCAATTTAATTTTAGGTGCACATTGATACAAATTTCTATCTTTGAGGATACAAATTGAGATTTTTAATCTTTGGGGTACACATTGATATAAATTTTTATCTTTGAGGGTGCAAATTGAGATTTTTGATCTTTGGGGGTACACATTGATATAAATTTTTATCTTTGAGGGTGTAAATTAAAATTCGAACAATCTTTCGGGGTGTAAAATGAGATTAACCCTTTTTTTTTTTTGGAGTGGAGGAAGGAGAAGAGATACTTGAACCCTTGAGCTTAAAAAAATAAAACATTCACAAACTAAAGATTATCATTGGACCACATATCTATCGGTCATTTTTCATTCATTCAGTTAGTCAATTTAGTTCAATGAAAACTTGGTGAAAGGGAAAATTGATTAAATTAAAATTAGAAGAAATTGATTGTAACGAAACCGAAAGTTAAAAAGGTTATTTTATAATTTACCCTTTTTTTTTAATTCAAATTCCAAAGACTTCAAGTCAACTTGAGATTGTATTTTCCACCATCCCTCAAGACTAATGTGGCCATTAAATAGGAACAAGAGACAGCAGCACCCCCAAAACCAAAATCAACTTCACTTCTCTCTTCAATCTTTCTCGTACTTTTTCAATCATAATGTCACTTGAGAAAATGGTTTCAAAAATGTTTTCTGATCTCAACATGCCTTCTGCAAAAACACTTGTGTCCACTGCAGCTTCTGCTGCTGCTTCTGCCATGGTGGTCCGATCAATAGCCCGAGACCTCTTACCTTACGAGCTTCAACAATATTTCTTCTCGAGTTTTCTAAACATTTTCAAAACGTTTCCGTCTGAGATAGTCTTGATCGTCGAAGAATTCGATGGTCTTGTAGGCAATCAAATCTACAAGGCTGCTGAAATCTATTTAGGCACAAAAATCTCACCCTCTACCCTGACTTTCAAAGTGAGTATGCCCGAGAAGGAGACGAAGATAAAGACTTCCATAACGAGCAATCAAGAAATCATCGACAATTTCAATGGTGTTCGATTCAAATGGAGGCAAATCACAAGACAGCTTGAATCTAAACGTGTCGTTTACAACGGCCAATCTTCGTCAACGCAGACAGAAATTCGATACTTCACGCTTTGTTTTCACAAGAAACACAAAGCGATGGTGTTTGATTCTTATTTTCCTTTCGTTATAAAGGAGTCTAAGAATTTTAAGGACGAGAAAAAAACCCTCAAGATTCACACAGTGAATTCTGATCAAATGCGTAGATATTCAGGAGATTGGTCATGGAATTCCGTAACTCTTGATCATCCAGCGAATTTCGATACATTGGCAATGGATACAGAGATGAAGAGAATGGTCATGGACGATCTTGAACGATTTGTGAGAAGAAAGGAGTTCTATAGGAAAGTAGGAAAGGCTTGGAAACGAGGGTACTTGTTGTATGGTCCTCCAGGGACAGGAAAATCGAGCTTGATCGCAGCGATTGCAAATTATCTAAACTTTGATATATATGATTTGGAGTTGACTGATATTCATGCTAATTCAGAGCTGAGGAAACTGTTGATTGGCACTGCAAACAAGTCCATTCTGGTAGTTGAGGATATTGATTGTAGTCTTGAGCTTGATGATCGAAAAGCCGAAGAACGAGCATTGAAGGTCCTTCGATCAAGTAAAGCGAGCCAAGCTCAGACTGTCAATATTATTCACCAAAATAAACCGAACCAAGTATGTTTGCTTTCTCTTTCTTTTCTTCTCAATAAACCAAGTACTGTAAAATATCCATTTGTTTACATAATATTATCTGAATTGTGGGTCGATTTAGTAAATAGTACAAGTACGAATACGTGGTATGACTCTTTGTCGGGTACGTGGTTTTGATTTGATGTTTTGGGCTGCTAATTGTTTTAGAAATCTAGATCATTTTCATTATTAGATGAAAGAAAACATGGATCGATTAGTAATTGTTTTACATTTTTGATCGGTTTTCTATTATCTTAGATTTTAGATGCTTAAACACTCATAGATACATGGTCGATTAGTATTGTTTATATTTGTGATACAAGTTCCGAAGCAAATGAATTTGGGTGTAGGATTATAATTTGGGATTGAAATTTGTTAGAATAAGTGGGTCATATTATAATATATGGAGAGGTAATGGACCAGTAATTGTTAGAGGAGAGTTGCACGTGCCTTCGGGATTTGTCCTAATTAGGGTTATAACCTATATATATTAAGTTGTAGTCTTATTTTTGGTGAGAAATAAAAACAAGACAGTCGCTTTGTCATGGACGTAAGCAAGTTGTCAAACCACGCAAAATTCTTATATCCATCTTCTAATTTTTCTGTTTCTTTGATTGTTCATCGCACACAAATCACCACAAAAATTAAGGTGATCTAGATCGTAAAACCACCCCGTTCGAGATTGTTCACCCAGTTCGTTTGTTGTCTTCAAGTGGGTTTACCTATAATTCTCTTCAGGCTCTTGTTAAGTGGTATTTGTTTGAGTTTTGTCCAGAAACCTTTAGGGCTTGGCCTAAAATTCAAAAATGGGTGTTTTAAAAGTCTTAAAGTCTAACTAAGTGTGGACTTTTGTTGCTGCCATCCAATCTTGGACAAGGAACGTCGAAGGCTTGCCAAGATAGGTTAAAAATTTTGCCTAGAAAGTTGAGAGTTGGGTGGATGCGAGAGGAGAAAGCCTTTTTGATCAGAAACAGAGTGTTTTCTGATCTTCCGGGAATTAAGGGCTTATAGTGGTGTCAATATGCTTTTGGCACATAGAGCAAAAAGTGACATTATCGAAAATCGGGATTTGGATCCCGTGGAATGCACGGTTGGTGATTTCTAAGGCAAAAATAAATCAATGTGGCAGACTGAAACTCTTTATCCTGCAATTAGAACTATACAAATCGACTTGGCAATGCTATTCTCTACAGTTTCACAGCAAATGCTCTGCCTAAACAAACAATATTTGGTAACCATCACATTTTGTTGTTGAATTTCCTTTTCTTTTTTTTTTTTACTCCCCTAGGTGACACTGTCAGGGCTGCTTAATTTCATTGATGGACTCTGGTCAAGCTGTGGCGACGAACGGATTATCATTTTCACAACCAATCATAAAGATCGAATTGACCCAGCTTTGCTCCGCCCGGGCCGAATGGATGTGCACATCCACATGTCTTATTGCACTCCTTGTGCCTTCAAGACTCTGTCAGAGAACTATCTTGGAATTTCAGACCACCCTCTCTTTGTTGAAGTTAATGGTATGTTGGAGAAGACAAAGGTGACCCCTGCAGAAGTTGGTGAGCAATTGCTGAGAAATGAGGAGCCTGAGGCTGCACTACAGGGCCTGATTGAGTTCCTCCATAAGAAGAAGAGAGAGAATGATGAAATGGAAGCTAGAAAACTAAAAGAAGAGAAAGATGAAGAAGAACTTGGGACACAGGAATTAGTGGGGCAAACTTCCACAACACGTGATTTGTCGTTTCGACTTAATCATTAATCCTAATTTGTTAACTTAATTCACTGTTAGATTGGCGGAGCGTTTGAATATATTGAACCGAATCTACTATTGATCTTATGATAATAATCATATTTTCTTAACAAATTAGATCAAGTGATTAGATCAAAATACTATTATGTGTTCAACAATGGTGCAATAAAAAGATCATATTTGTGAGAGGTCGGGAGAGGCCTAAACCCTACCGTGATTGTACTTCCTAGATTCAAATCTTTAAGCGACTTGAGTTCTTTTGTTTCATAATATTATGAGCAAAACTATATGGTGAAAAAATTACTACTTGGACCTAAAATGCTTATAAGATATGTTGACTTAATCAATTATAACTATTGAATTGAAAATGAATTCTAAATGATATTTAGACCTATAGTTAAATTAATGATTGTGATTGATTATTAAGTCCAGGTACAGTTGCTCTTCATGAAAATACTCCATGGGTTGAAATTATGATTATGGTTTAGAAAAATTTCTTCCACTCCCCTATAAATTAGTTATAAGTTCATGGACTTCCTTTGAATTTTCTGAAACTTTAATGCCATCCCTGATCAATCTAAGGTATATTTGGTTTAATAATTTCATCAAACACAAGGAACTGGAGGCAAAATAACCTACTGATCTCTACAGGGAAAGAATGTAATCTATCAACTTCTTTTTAATTTGAACAGAGTAGTTAACCTAAAAAAGTCTAACAATTACAGTTACAATAATTCTATTAAAACATGTCACAACCATAATATCACCAAGTCATTAAATCAGATCAGTTTTTATGTACAATTTTTTTCCACCCCTTTGCTGAATTCTCATACTTCACTCTTCCCCATATCTCTCTCTCCTTCTAGTTTTCTTGCTTCCATTTCCTCACTCTCTCTCTTCTTCCTCTGGAGGAACTCAATCAGGCCCTGTAGTGCAGCCTCTGGTTCCTCATTTTTCAGTAATTGCTCTCCAATTTCTGCAGGGCTCACCATTGTCTTTTCCAACAGATCATTGATTTCGGGGAAAAAAGAGTGCTCTGTAATTCCAAGATAGTTCATGGCTAGAGTCTTGAAGGCACAGGGAGTGCAATAAGACATGTGGATGTGCAAATCCATGCGGCCAGGACGTAGCAAAGTTGGGTCGATTCGATCTTTGTGATTGGTTGTGAAAATGATAATCCGTTGGTCTCCACAGCTTGACCAGAGTCCGTCAATGAAATTGAACAGCCCCGAAAGTGTTACCTGAGGGAAGAGAGAGAAAATTTGACAAAGAATGTGTTACTTATTGTGCAGTGTTTGGCTTAGCAGAGCAGAAGATATTTTGCTATTGAGACAGAAGAGAATGGCATTGACAAGTAGGGCCTACAATTTTATTTTAGACATGACTTGTGAACAAAACATCAAATTACCTCAATAAATCTGTGTACTAAATTGGGTGATATGAAGCCAGCTAAACAAAGAGTACACGACACAAACTCAACAAAGATATGAGTTAAACAAGCATGACAAAGGCACGACAAGAAACCAACGCGACACAATTCATTTCCATCCTTATTGCCAATTCAATTTTTGTGGTTTTAATTGGAGGACAAAGAGTTCAACCTCAACATATCAAAAGAGGCCACAAGCATTGGATTGGACAATGGTTTATGGAGAGAAAAGCTCTTTTTTTTGGGATCAACGTCCTCTCCAATACACTAGTACTCATGGTATATCACCAATCGCGTATTGCTGAGAACACTCCATATATAGAAGGTCTCATTTGAATTCTTAATAGGTTATCTACAGTTGAATGAAACTTAGGGTTGAACAGGGCATTGTCTAAGCATGTGATCGCCTAAAATGAAGTTTGGCAATTGCAATTTTTGCTTATGTGCCAAATACTGGATTTTGAAAAATGCTATTTGGACCTGATTAGTTGTAGCTGTTGGATTTTAAGTGAGCTCCATTTAACATTAGAATTCAGAATTAGTATAATAGTTGCGTTGAATTAGGTTTTGATTAGGTTGAGAGAGAGAGAGAGAGAGAGAGAGAGAACAAACATACTTGGCTCAGTTTCTGTTGCGGAACAATATTCACAGTCTGAGCTTGGCTCTCTTGACTAGATTGAATGCTCTTTAGAGCTGGTTCTTTGGCTTTTCGATCTTCAAACTCAAGACTACAATCAATATCCTCAACCACAAGAATCGACTGGTTCGGGCTGCCAATCAACAGTTTCCTCAGGTCTGAGTTGCTATGAATAGCAGTGAGCTCCAAGTCATAGATATCAAAGTTCAGGTAATTCGCCATTGCTGCGATCAAGCTCGATTTCCCTGTCCCAGGAGGACCATACAACAAGTACCCTCTTTTCCAAGCCTTCCCTACTTTCCTATACAACTCCTTTCTTCTCACAAATCGTTCGAGATCATCCATGATCATTCTCTTCATCTCTGTATCCATTGCCAATGTATCAAAATTTGCTGGATGATCGAAAGTTATGGATTTCCATAAAGACCCCCCTCTTGAATAACTTCGCATGCTATCGCCATTCAATGTGTGGATTTTCAGTGTCTTTCTCTCTTGTTTCAGCTTCTTCGACTCCTTTAGAATGAAAGGAAAGTAAGAATCAAATACCATTGCCATGTGTTTCTTGCGAAAACTTAGCCTAAAAAATCGAATTTCTGTCTGAGAGGATGAAGGTTGACTAGTGGAAGATTCAACGTGTCTTGTGATTTTCCTCCATTTGAATTGAACACCATTGAAATTGTCGATGATTTCTTGATTGCTCGCCATGGAAGTCTTTATCTTCGTCTCCTTCTTGGGCATGCTCACTTTAAACATTTGGGTAGAGGGTGAGATTTTTGTGCCTAAATAAATTCCAGCAGCCCTGTAGATTTGATTGTGGACAAGGCCATCGTATTTTTCGATGATCACGACTATCTCGGACGAAAACGTTTTGAAAATATTTCGGAAGCTCGAGAAGACATATTGTTGAAGCTCATAAGGTACGAGGTCTCGGACTATCGATCGGACCACTATGGCAGAAGCAGCAACAGAAGCTACCGTAGACACAAGTGTTTTTGCAGAAGGCATGTTGAGATCAGAAAACATGTTTGAAACCATCTTTTCTGTAATGGGATTTGATTGAAAGTATCAGAAAGATTGAATAGAACTGAAGTTGACTTTAGATTTGGGAAGGTCTCTTGTTTCATCTTTTATTAGCAGAGGTAAGGAATCTACTTCTTTAACCAGCATAGTAGGGAATTGACCCCTTATTTTGGTACGAAAAGGAGTTGCATAGAAATTAAAATAATTCTCGTTTCTAATTTAGACCTGCTAAAAAAATTCCACTGAAACAATAGGTCATCGCCTAATATAAGAGTTTATAATAAGGAAACATTATGAATCAAATGCAACAGAGCATTGAAAGTTAAAACCTACCCATGTGAGAGGTTTGCTGAGCAGCATGGAATTAATCGTCAGATAGCGACCTAAGAAATGTCAAACCATCACTAGGCTTTTGATCCAATGGTACTCTTTGTTTTCTAATGACTTTGCTTTTTTTAGGTCAAGGGTTCAAGTCCCCCTTCCCCAAAAAAAAAAATGTCAAACCCAAAGATTGAATTGAAGAAGAGAGCCCAATGCAAAGAATGCCTCTATTTCACCCGCTGCCAATCATTGGCAACTGATCAAGCAATGCCTGATGAGCTGTCGGGGCCATTTTTTGGGTACTCTTGCACAACAATGGGAAGAAAATCACCAATAAAGTAAGTCAAGCCCCCATCATCCACATGATTCCCAAATTCCCAAAAACATACAAAACTTATATCACACTTTTATAAATACCTGAATCACCAAAAATTCAAAAACGTAGAGCATCAACCGAGGAGCAACAATTTTAAACCTTTGCATCTAAATTTTTTTCAACCAACCGGTGAGTACCCCAAAATTAATCCTCAACAATTAGCTTTACCATAAAACCATCTTCAATCCATTAATTAAACAATAATCCAAGCACTAAATTACATGTAAACTAAAAGATTCAAATTTAAACTTTGCATTTCCAATTTCATCACATGCAAGTTTAATAGTAACACGAAGAATTGCCCAAGGCAAGAGAAACAATGACTTCAAGATTAAACCATCAATGACTTAATTACTCTTCAAGCCCAAGTTCAATCTAATTTCCCCAATCAATTACTTATTTCCATTGTAAATATCAATGATGAAGTTTATGGATGAATAATTATTGACTTTAGAATTTTAGTTAAAGAGTAAGGTTTTGTTTTTTTTTAATAGCAAAGCAGTTTTGCAGTTTTTATTTTACTGGGCAAATACAAAGAACAGTTGCCTACATTACATTGAAACCCACAAATTAACCTCACAGAAATGGAAACCCACAAAAAAACCTAACATGCAATTTGATAACAATAAAATCATTCAATCAAAACCCTACAATTCAATTTGAAATTAACACCCCAATTAACACTCAATTAATACCCAATTAAAATTAACACCCAAATTTGCACCAATTCGAAAACCCTAACTTTCAATTAGCCACAAAATGTGTATGAATGTGGTTGTGATGTGTGTTGTATTGAGTGTATTATTCTGTGCAGGGGTGTGTGTGGGTGCGCCTTTGTTTGTTCTGTGTGTGTGTTTCGGGCTGTGTGTGAGTGCGTGCTCTATGTGTGTGTGCGTGAGTGGAGAAAGATGAAGGCAGAGAGAGAGCGAGAGAGTGGGAGGGAGAGGGAGATTACCTAGAGGAACAGATCCATGGCAATTGCTTCTTCAAATCTCGGTGGAGATTATTCACTGTCTTCTCCTTTTTCAAATCTAGGTGGTGGGCAGATTCATGGCAGAGAAGAGGGAGAGAGGTAAGAGAATCTCTGAAGTCGTCCTCTCAAAATAATTATTTAAAATATTATATTTTTTATGTTAAAAAATTATTTTTACAAAGTTATTCTAATCGTATCCTCTATTTTAATTAATTATTATTAATATTTTAAGTTAAGATATTGTATAACTTGACACCTCATTAAAATACAAAATAATTATTCCTATAAATGCAAAAAGAGTTATTTCGCTATCAAAATAAAAAATAGTTAGTCAAGAAGACTAACTAAATATAGAGAGCAATTTAACTCAAATATAAAATAACCCGCCAAATAGCTAGTCTTTTGAAATATAATTTTGTGATTTAACTCTTTATTTTAA